GGGTACTGGAGATCTAAACTGGGCATTTTGTAGAGGGATTTGGCGCCCATTGCGATGTCTCGATGCTGCAATGACACACAATGGTCGCATGGTCAGCAGCATAAAACGGCTGTTCCTATGCAGAGGTAAACTTTTTTTTAAGATGGAGCATAGCCATTTGTGTGCAGAAACGATGTTCAGAAACTTGCAGACTCAGGGAAAGTAAATTGTTCTGTACTGAAACTGGGGAGAGGCATTGGATGAGAATGAAGTAGGAACAACCCACTTACTCACTGAAAAGCTGACTCCGCACATCTGACTTTCTCCTGTGGTTCCCGCCAGTAGCCTGTCTGCACAACAAGCCAGCTTTGACCTCTTAATCCCTCTTTCCCCCCTCCTCCTTCCCATGGAAGGTTGCTCTTGCCTGATGTGGCATAGCATCATTCCTCCATGTCTTAGGCATTTGATGTAGCACTATCCTATAGAAGAGGCAGGAGTCAGATTCTCTTCTCCCTCAGAGCATTGTTTTACACTAATCTCAGCCAATAGCAATTTAGTGAAACTTTTCACGCCAGCCTGTCTGGGATGAGGACATTGAATGCACCTTGCTGCTTTTTGCTCCAGTTTTAAACTGGTTTCAGTTTTCAAAACACCACCTATCTGTTGTTCTAAATGCCCTGAACCATCCCAAAACATGATTTTATTTTGCGTGTATGGTAATTTCCACTGAGACCCTCTGCACCTGTAAAGGTGCAGGACAGAATCTGCCTACTACGTTGGTTTGAGCAGTGGCGGGGTGATGTAGGTCTCTGCTTGGAATGGAGCAATTCAGTGGCCTTGAGTGCTTTGGGTTAGCTAGGGGCTAAGTACACAGTTTCAACTGGATTTATACTGTTTACTGCAAGGATAAACTGGTTCCAAGTCCGAGTATAGCATTCCTGCAAAAGAAAGAGGTCGAACAGGCTGCTTCATCTGTTTACAGTCAAGATACTTTGATTAAAACCAAAGACTGACTCCTGAAAAAGATTTTCTTCTGGTGTTACAATAGTTTTTCAATGATGAACACTTCAAGTTCTGTGAAAATTCTAGTAGAACTAGAGACAAAACATCCAAATATACCTTGCATAAGTCGGTTTATGTCTCTCAAAGCAGCAAATGCATCTTTCCTGAACCTTTCTCTTGTCTAGAGCTCAACATTATACTTGGAAGTTCACTGCAACTGCAGGGATGAAGGCAAGAGTTACGTTATCAAACCCAGAGTTGTTCTAACTTTGCAGCCCTCCAGAGTTATACCTCTGTCCACTGTAAAACGTAGGATTTTAACATGAAGAAAATGTATCCAAGTTGACACACAATGTCCCCTGGCTGGGAAGTAGTTTGAAGAATTAGTTTGTAGGCCAGGTTCTGTTTGTTAGACAAACTCAGGAGAGAAGTTTTGCAGATTTTTTTAAGCTTAGTTGGAATTCAGTGTTCTGAACAACGGGAAGGCAGGGGCTGAGTGAGGCGAGAAGCAGTGTAATAAATCAGCCAGTCTTTGTATAGCTGGTTTTTAGTTTACTTTCATGGGCCATTTCTACTAAAACATGTTTGGGGTTACAAAAGTCCTCTTTCACAGCCATCTCATTAACCCTTTCATTATTGTAGTTAGACGAAGTGTGACCTTCCCCTAACTGGCACTTACTATGAGATTTCTGTGCATCTGTGGCTTGTAAATACACTACATGTAAAATGTACAAATAGACAAGATGAGGTGTCTTCTGTAGCCTTGAAGATCTCCCTGATTTTTTTTTCTCTTCCTTACAACTGTCTTACTCAAGACTTTGCATGTTGTCTGCCTTCCTTCTGGCCAGTAAGGGGGAAAGGGGATAATGGGGGGGTAGGGGGCGGGGGAAGACAACTCTTCAATGTAAAGTCAGCATAGAGCAGGATTTCTCAACCTCATTGCCACAATCCCCTTCTGACAACAAAAATTACTTCCTGACCTACAGAAGAGGGACCGAAGTCCGAGCCCCACCGCCCTGGGGTGTGCAAAGCTTGAGGGCTTCAGCTCTGGGCAGTGGGGGAATTTAACCTGAGCCCTGCTGCCCAGGGCTGAAACCAAAGCCTGAGCCCCACCGCCCAGGGATGAAGCCCTCTGGCTTCAGCTTCAGCCCTAGGCAGTAGGGCTCGGACTTCGGCTGCAGCCCCGGGCCCCAGCAAGTCTAACACCAGCCCTGGCAACCCCATTAAAACAGGGTCATGACCCACTATTTGAGAACTGCTGGTACAGAGTAATATGAGGCACTCTTACATTGGCCTCCTAGTTTCTACCATCCCCGGGAGCAAGAGATCAGAAATCAAATCCAGGTCTCCCATACAACAGTGCAGAACACTGACTCACTGGTTTGGGCCACGTGAATGTTTAAAGCATTTTTAAAGGGGTAGACTTAGAGTACCTAAGGAGTTAGATCCTGATAGTCATACATCTTTTGATGGAAGAAGGTTCATACTCCTCATTCAGGTTTTACTGAACTTTCAAGTGCCCTTTCTAGGAAGGATGTGTCTGATCCTTTGCAGCCATAATTACAGTTTACATACATCACAGACAGGCACTGTTTAAAGATTCTTTTGAAGTCTATATGCTGTCTGTATACAGCATGACTTCAAGGCCAGGTTTTCTTGGGATAGAATCCAGGCTAATTTCAATAGCACAATTTAAAGCAGTGATCTCCAAAGGTGGAATTGTCTTGCTTTTCTAGATTTGAAAAACATTTTGTCCTAAACCAAGAATGCCTGAGCTAAAATAATCTGAGCATCTGATACCCAACGTTCATGTTCCAGTGCTAAGTGTACAATGCCTATTGTACTTGTTCAGCACTAGAATAGTCCCTTCCCCTTCTAGGTAGGTTAGTTTGTCACTGCAGAGACATGGGTGACACGTAAATAAACAAAAGCTTGACAACATACATTGCTTTTTTGTTTAAAAACCCATCAGGAGCAGTGAGCATGTGGTAGGTCAGCACATTCAAACCATGATTCACTGAAGTCTAGCCACGGGATTATTGGCTTGGGTTGAGACTTATGTCTGCGAACCTTAAGGACAGGTCATAAGGAAAACGGTGGTGACTGGAACAGGCTCAGTTTCTTCTTTGTGAAACTTGATGAGGAAACAACAAGGAGTCCGGTGGCACCTTAAAGACTAACACATTTATTTGGGCATAAGCTTTCGTGAGATGCATGGAGTGAAAATTACAGATGCAGGCATTATTATACTGACACATGAAGAGAAGGGAGTTAACTCACAAGTGGAGAACCAGTGCTGACAGGGCCAATTCAATCAGGGTGGATGTAGTTCACTCCCAATAATTGATGAGGAGGTGTCAATTCCAGGAGAGGAAAAGTTGCTTCTGTAATGAGCTAGCCACTCCCAGTCGCTATTCAAGCCCAAATTAATGGTATTAAGTTTGCAAATGAATTTTAGTTCTGCAGTTCTGTCAAACCGTTGCCTACTCTGTCCCCATATCTACTCTAGCGACACCATCAGAGGATGCAATCACATCAGCCACACCATCAGGGACTCATTCACCTGCACATCTACTAATGTGATATATGCCAGCAATCCCCCACTGCCATGTACATTGGCCAAACCGGACAGTATCTACATAAAAGAATAAATGGACACAAATTGGACATCAGGAATGGTAACATACAAAAGTCAGTAGGAGAACACTTCAATCTTCCTGGACTTTCTATAACAGATTTAAAAGTAGCCATACTTTGAACTAAAAAAACTTCAGAAACAGACTTCAAAGAGAAACTGTAGAACTAAATTTCATTTGCAACTACATCCACCCTGATTGTATTGGCCCTGTCAACACTGGTTCTCCACTTGTGAGGTAACGCCCTTCTCTGCATGTGTCAGTATAACAATGCCTGTATCTGTAATTTTCACTCTGTGCGTCTGAAGAAGTGGGTTTTTTACCCACGAAAGCTTATGTCCAAATAAATCTGTTAGTCTTTAAGGTGCCACCAGACTCCTCGTTGTTTTTGTGGATACAGACTAACATGGCTACCCCCGATACTTGATGAGGAAAAAGGCAAAAATGTGCCATATATGCAGGTCTACATCACCGCTACGCACAGATTTGAACCCGTGTCTAAAAAATGAGATGTCTGTTTTTATCCCAGTCTTTAGTGCATATTTGCCTGCATAGTAAATGCTCAGTTCAGAACACCAGTTTGTCCCCATTCAGGAAAGGTGCAGAACTGGAGTAGTAAGGAGTGCTGCAGCTCAGGAGTGAGCTACAATATACTGCTAGAGCAGGGTTGGGGAGAGCTTGCAAAGCATTTGCTTGTGCCATTCCCTCGTTACCTCTGAATCTTTTTATTGCTCGTTCCCAACACCTTGTCCCCTGTCCGTCCCCCCACCCACCTCCATCACAGGTACAAAATACTGCTGCATACAGCAAAGACTGTAGTAATTTTCATTATAGTAGCTTCTGGAGGCCCCAGTCAAGCTCAGTGCCTCCTTGCAAGTTCTTTGGGGGCAGTGACAATCTCTCACTATGTGTCTTCACAATATCTTGAGCAATCTAAATAGTGCGAAAGATGTAATAATTAAAACAATCTGAAATTCAAGAAGCATCCAAAAGCTTTCATGATTATATTAACAATTTGTAAAGTCACTAGGTATGGGGCTTTTAATTATGTGGGTTTTATTCTTATGCCTTAATAAAAGAAATTGGTGGAAAAAAGCAAAACACTTAAAGGTTGCTTGCTTGCAGTTTTGTAACTCTGAGTTCTTGCAGGGTTGCATGTCTTTTCTTTGCTGGTGCTGATAGTATGCTCCAGGCAAGGCTTCTAACGGCATAGAATCTTTCTCTGTTTGCTAATATTAAAATAAATTAGACCATGTACTACACAAGAGAACACATGCAGTGTACATGAGTGGGGGAGTTTGGATAAATCAGACCATATCAGCGTGCTGTGGCTCTTTACCAGGAGTAATGGTAACATTTCTCTCTTTTTCTAATCCTTTGCAGGAAATCCAAGGGAAAACCAAATGGTAAAAAGCCAGTACCAGAAGAGAAGAAACTCTACCTAGAGCCAGAATACACAAAGTTGAGAATTACTGACTTTGAATTCAAGGAGCTAGTGATGTTACCGCGAGAAATAGACCTCAATGAGTGGCTAGCCAGCAATAGTAAGTAGTATGAACACAGCTCACAGCCTGATGCCCATACCCAAATGGGGCTTTCGTTTACATGGTCTCTTTTTACTGGTTTCAACACTAAAAGCCATTGAATGTTTTTGCATGTTTACTGTGCAATGCAGGTCATAATATCTTGAGTGATAACTAAGCTGTGTTTAGCGTAAACCAACTGTGCTCTACAGGGTGGAAATGTTAGTGCATTTCCCCCTTCTTCCCCCTCTGATTGTGACATTGGTGAGGACATTAAACTTTTTTTTTCAGGTCTCTTTTTAGGACCATCATTTTCCTTTTGAAGGGTCTGTTAAAACTGCTGGTTCAGTTGGAGGCATTGGTCTTCCAAAAACATTTTTAAGACCCTGACTAGCAGGCAAGTCCCAGTAAAGTTCTTTCGTTTTTGTTTTTGGTTTGTTTTAAAGATAAAACTAAAAGTCTTTTAGCTGGATTTGTTTCTCTTGCCATCTCCCATTGTAGTCCTTGTAGAGTTATTTTGAATTTTAAAGTTTACTCAAAGATAGTACTCACAGAAGTGGCTGATTAAAGATTATATGCAGGACTGGCTTTAGGAAGTGCGGGGCCCCGACAGGGATGACTAACCAAAACAAAAAACAAAAAAACACCCTATAAAAAAAACTTTAATTTCTTCCATGTATTATTTACTTTCCATAACTATATAAATAATAAAAGTATATATTA